CCAAGATTTGTAGGGAAATGATGAAAGAGCTAAATCTGACAGATATATGGAGAAGATTACATCCTGAAAAAAGACAATTTACATTTTATTCAAAACCCCACCAAACATGGACATGGATCGATATGGCATGGACGAGTGGGGAAATAGCAAACGAGACAAAAGAAGTGGAAATTTTGCCTAATGAATGGGCAGACCATAATCCAATACAGGTAATATGGAAGGGCAGGGCAAAACCAAAGAAAAAATGGACCTTAAACACTCAATTAATAAGAGAGAAAGAATACATTAATAAATTAAAGGAGGAATTGAATTTTTTTATAAAAGAAAATGATAATGGAGAAACCACGAAACAAAATGTTTGGGATACGATGAAGGCAGTTATAAGAGGCATAACAATCTCTTATAATGCCAAGAGAAACAAGGAAAAATATTCCCAACAAAACAAATTACAACAAAGAATTAAGGAGCTAGAAACCCTTCTACAAAATAACCCAAATTGTTGTTGTAAGTGGGGGGAGACGAAAAAAAAACTTTTTGGAGCAGAGCTTGAAAAAGGAGGAGACTACCTAGAATTTTAAAGAAAGATACATTTTAATGGGAACCTTTTGATCAATTAGTAACCCCATAAAGAGAAATTGAAGAAGGTAAAAAAAAAGTATTGAAAGAAACAGTTATTTGGACTTTTTAGTGACTTTGGAATTCTTTTGGAATTACTCTTGATTAAAAATACTTGGGTGGTTGTTTTTGAAGAAATCTTTCTCTTCAGGATGGCATTGCTTTTGGATGAATTAAAAATTCAATACCAAAAATATAAGAAAGAAGAGCAAGATGGAAAAGATTCTTTGGGCACTCTTTTTCAATTTTTAGAAATGGCGGTACGCACTTATGAAAAATTGACTACACAGCAGGATGACTGGAACAAAGAAGAAGAAGAAGCCATTTTGGATGAGCAATGGGTTTACTTTGGGGAGGAGGAGGAAGAGGAAAAGAAAAAGGGGATTTTAAGGGTAGAGAAAACAATCCAAAAAGAGAAAAATGAGATGAAAGCTGGATATAAGGTTAGAAAACAACAGAAAGTGAGTAAGCAGAAGAAGAAAAGGGGGGGAGGAGAGACAAGAGGGTAAAAAAGGCAAGGAGAAAAACAAACAAGTGAGAAAGGAGGGGATGAAAAACCTTAATGCTGGGAAGCAAGACTCTAAGAAACAAAATCTATTTAGAGACAATGGGTAAATTTAACTGAAAAAGGGATTCTGGAAGGTACATAAAAGTGTGATTTTCTATGTGTATTCAGAGTAGAATGTGTATTAGTATGTATGATTTGCTCTTTTACGGTATTTTTGGTGGGTCATAGGCTTACATTTTGTAATTCTAGCCTATTTGCTTTTCTTATAAGGTTTTTTGTGTAATTTTAGAATGTACTAACCAGAATCTCAATATAATTTAAGTGTTATATTAAGTATTGTGAAGTTAGGGAAAAGAGTTAAAGGTGTTACTCCAATTAGTGTACAGGAGAAGTATATTTAAAGAAAAAAGATGAATGGATAACTGTAAAAGAACAGACAAAAAAATGTTAAGTACTATGAACTGTATTGAGATAAGATAAACAAAATATAATTAAGAAAGATAAAAGAGGGAAGAAGTTATATAGAAAATTAAAAATGGTAATAAGATATGGATTGACATATAAAGTAAATATTGTTTTTGAATTTGTGTCTGTGCGAAGAGTTTTAACCCGGGATTAACCAGCTTTCAGAAATGAGGTTTTTTATGTTCTATGTTATGTATGTTTTGTCTATTGTTTTTTTTAAAAGGCAAAAATTTTGATTAGTAAGAAATATAATCTGGATAACAGAATGAAAAGGAGAAATTGGGATAGGATATGAAGATGAGCAGATAATGTAAATGCACATATTACATTTGGCACGTTTTATTGGTTTTTCCAGAAAGATTCTTTATGTTAATATGCCTTGACTGTTTGTATGTCTTGTAAAGCTAACAAAATTTGTTTTTTTTAAAAAAAACAAAAACAAAAATAAGTCAGAGGAAAATAGAAGTGTGATGATTGAATAGCAGATAAACTAGAAAGGAAATGTTATTGAATAAGAGTAAAGAGAAATAATGTGAAATCTGTTAAAGGGAATTTATGTGTCTACATTGAAATGAGATAAATTAGAATGCGATATAAAATAATGTGTTACCTGCTTTGTAAAGATTTATGATGGAAAGCGGTTTTATGTTTTTAGCGTTTAATGATGTTTTGTCTTGTTTGTTTCTTGTTAAAATCAATAAAATTTGTTTCAAAAAAAAAATAACCCAAAAAACCCAAACTGCAAAATCAGATAAGTATAGCCAAACACAAACTGAATTTAATTGATCAAGAGAAAATGACTATGAATTTGAACTTAACCAGACAAACCTATTTTGAACATGCCAACAAGCCAGGAAGATGGCTATCTTATAAATTAAAAGAAAAGAAAGAGAAGAGATTGATATACTAGTTAATAGATAGCAAAGGAGATACATACCAGGAAATAGAACAGAAAAAAGAAATCATTCATAAATACTTTTGAAGATTTATACAAAAGAGAGGATGTCAGTGAAGATAGAATAAGGAATTATCTAGATGAAGTAAAGGATAAGGCAATTGGGGAAGAAATGGCTGAACTATTAAATAAAGACATTACTGAATCGGAATTGAAATCAGCAATAGAGAGCCAGAAAAATAATAAAACCCCGGGCCCAGATGGGATCCCAGGGGAGCTGTACAAGGCAATAGCAGATCAAATCAGACCACTTATGGTGGAAGTCTTTAATGACGTTTTACTGGCAGCCAGGATGCCGGACTCATGGAGGGGGGCGTTGATCTCACTGATCCCGAAGGAAGATACAGATCCCAGATATATAAATAATTACAGGCTGATTTCACTTTTAAATACTGATTACAAAATATTCACACTTATTATAACAAATAGATTAAAAAGGATCTTAAACTTGTATATACATGTAGACCAAAACGGATTTCTCCCAACTAGGCCAATAAAGAACAATTTAAGAATAGTATTAGACGTACTAGAATTTTACGAAGCCCACCCTGAGAAACAAGTAGCACTTATGTTCCTAGATGCAGAGAAGGCTTTCGACAATCTAAATTGGAAATTTTTAATTCAAAAAATTTATAATTTGAATTTGGGCACCAAATTTGAAAATATTATAACAACTATATATGATACACAACAAGCTAATATAATAGTGAATGGAGAATGCACCCGCCCAATAAAGATAGAAAAAGGAGTGAGACAGGGTTGTCCACTCTCTCCCCTGCTCTTCATATTAGCATTAGAGACATTATTAACATGAATTAGGCGGAATTCAGATATAAAGGGATTAACAGTTAAGAAAGAGGAATATAAATTGCAAAAATTTGCGGACGACATGATTTTCTTCATTGAAGAACCAAAAGACAGGGGACCCAAATTGATGAGTGAATTAAAGAAATCTTGCCACAGTTCTTAAGCGAATCACTGCATTAAGTTAGTAACATGGTTGTTAAGTAAATCTGGCTTCTCCATTGATTTTGCTCGTCAGAAAGTGCAAAAGCTGTACATCTGATATTGCAATTGTCCTAAATATGAACCAGTTGCCAAGCATCTGAATTTTGATCATGTGATCATGAGGATGCTGCAATGTAAGTGCGAAAAACAGTCATAAGTTACTTTTTTCAGTACTGTTGTGACTTTAAATGTCACTAAATGAACTGTTCTAAGTCGATGACTATCTGCATTTAAATTTTAAAGGCCACAAGACTCAAGATTTGATCTGACAAAAGATAGAAAAGCATCCAAACTTCTGCAATTTATTGTGGGCTTGTGCATGTGTGTGGGTTGGCACTATTGGATGAAACTAGTAGGCATGGTAGATCTTTCCAAAGAAAGTAATTTTGCAGAATTTCAACCTTTTTGTAATACTTTTTCATAACTTTCATAAGTGGGGTAGGGAGAGGAGACAGTATACTTATGGGGAGATGCTAAGGTGTCCTAGCTTTATTTCTCTGCACAGCGCCTTGTTGTCCTTCCTTCATTGGAAGGGGTCATACTCCACATAGAGACAAAGGAACTTGCGACTTTTCCTGCTGGAAAGTCGTAAGAAAGTTCCCTCCCTTTCTTGTTGACTTTCTGAAGAAGCCAGCAGGGAAGTTCACAAATGGTGATCACATGATATAAGTAGCAATCCATCATAAATGCAAACAAATTGCCAAGAGCCTAGATTGCAATTAGGTAACCCTGGGGCTGGTGCCACAATCTTAAGTTTGAGCATCTGCCAAAAGTCCTTTCATTTAACATTTTTGTAATTTTGAACAGTCACTGAACAAATAGTCATAAGTTAAGGACCACTTCTATTTTATTCCTGAACAGACTAATAGCAATACTTTCATCAAATACAGCATTGATTTTTCAGAAACAGAATGAGGCTGAATACCAGTCATTTCTGATCAAATTTAAGTAATAAGGAAGGTAGACCAACAAGCTTTGAGTAAATCCTTGTATCTGACAAGTGACACTAAGATTTCCCTTATTTTGTTCCTAAAGATCTATCAAAAGCAGCAGTGAATTAGCATCCCAGTATAATAGCATACACTTCAGTCTGATCTGTTGAGATTATAAAAGTATGTTAAGAAGCAAAGAAAAAAGTATTATTCAATTACATCATTCTAGAATAAACCTTTGATGATTTTACAGTGAAATGATTTCTTATGCTATAGTTCAAATGGAAATCACAGCAATTTATAACTTGGGAACATCCCAGTTTTATTCATTGTTCCAACAGGAAGTTAAAGTAGCAGCTTTATGTTAAACAAATGGTCTACTCAAACCTCATTTCTTACTCTTTATGTTCCATGATAGCTTGAAAAAGAGAAATATACAATTACAGGAGTCTATGAATGTATATGCTTTTAAATTAGAATAATTGTGCAAATGGCATTCTGATTAATCAAGCCTTACCATATCCAGGACATAATAGCTGAAATGTTCCTTGTAAGCAACTTTACAGGGTACTGATACTGGTTACTCTATCCATTAACCTGAAAAACCAGCTGTTCTTCTATCAGGAAGCTATTTGCACAAAACACACACCCAGTAGCGTGATGCAATATTTATCACCAGTAGACAATTATCAAAGTACAAGGAAATACCTGCAGCACTAACCCTATTAATTTCCAAAGGAAAAAGGAAATTTTGTCTTCCATTATAAAAAACTAAAATGAGTATGTGAAATGTCAGCCTTTTAAGAATAATTATTGACTCTCATTTCTAATCACATAAGATGATCTTGTGCCTATCTCTGTGTAAGGATAAATAACTAACCACCAATCAATCACAAATTTCCTACTTCCTCCTAGGATCTAATATATACTGTACATATTGTGAGCAGAATTGCTAAGAGTATAAGGTTTAAGAAACAGATTCATCATACCAAGTTAGAACACGATCTCTTCTTCTACTATTTCTCATATTAATTAGCATTGTTTTCCCATTGGCATCTTAAATTCTGGGTATTATAATCTGGGTATTATAATCCAACATACCCAGAGGGCAACAGATCAGAAAAAAGGCTAATTTTATTATTGCAGTTGTTGCACAGTCAGCCAGATGTTTAGACTGGATTTGACACTTTTACCCATCTGTCAAGTCTTTCCCAAGGATGTTGTTCAATGAATTCAAGATATCGTGGATGTAAGCTGTTGCAGTAAAGCTGCCTTTTTGAAGAGACTGGTAGTGGTTTTGTCAATGTTGATGGTATTCAAGTTGTGCTCCAGATATTTTGGCATCAACCATGTGATTCAATTAACAACTGCAGTGATTTGCTTAATAACCATGCCCAAAAAGGTCATAAAATCAGGCACAATTCATTTAACAAGTGCCTTGCAACAGAAATTCTGTTCCCAATTTATTAGAAAACAATGCTGTAATCATATTAATTTAAGAAATTAATTTATTAAGTGGTGTGGTGGCTCAGTGGCTAAGACACTGAGCTTGTCAATCAGAAAGGTCAGCAGTTCGGCGGTTCAATTCCCTAGTGCCACGTAATGGAGTGAGCTCCCATTACTTGCCCCAGCTTCTGCCAACCTAAAAGTTCGAAAGCATGTAAAAATGCAAGTAGAAAAATAGGGATCACCTCAGAGGGAAGGTAACAGCATTCTGTGCGCCTTCGGCGTCTAGTCATGCCAGCCATATGACCATGGAATTGCCATCAGACAGCGCTGGCTCTTCAGCTTAGAAACAGAGATGAGCACTGCCCCCTAGAGCCGGAAATTACTAGCATGCATGTGTGACGGGAACCTTTGCCTTTACCTTACACATTCATTCATTCATTTATTCATTCATTCATTCATTTTATTTATTTATTTTATTATTATGCCTTCTATAATGCTTGGTGGTCACATGACTGAGTGCGCGTGGCCAGGTGGCCACGTGATTGGCAAACCAAACACAAGTGGCCCTCGCTCCAATTGCTTAGCATGTGTTCTAATTTATGACTGACCTCCCCAGAGCTACTTGACTGTTTTTGGAGTTTTGACAGCCATCCACACACCCACACCCACACCCACACTCCCTTCTAACCCTGCTGGACTAGAAGATGACCTCCAAGATCCCTTCCAGGCTAGCCCTAGATTGCTGTGCTGCTTCAGAGAGTTTTCTGAAGCCAGGGTTTGTGTCCTTCCTTCCTCTCCTTTTTTTTTTTCTCTCTCCCTACCTTCTTCCATGTACTAAAATTGAAATGCTATGTTGATAGTGATTATGCAAATGATGTAAAAACCAGAAAGTCCAATTCTGGGATTGTGATATTGTTTGGAGGGGCTTTAATTGGTTGGAAGTCCAGCAAGAAAACAACCGTAGCCATTTCTACTGTGGAGGTAGAATTTATTGCTTTATCTGAATTCTGTTCGGAGATAACTTGGTATGTACAACTGTTATTAGGATTTAAATATAAAGGTAACTGAGCCTGCCTTAGTCCATGAAGACAACACTGCTTCCATTAAAATGGCTACAGGTGACAGAGTAAAGAGTAGAAGCAAGCATGTGGATATTAAGTATTGTAATGTAAGAGAGGTCATCAGTGTAAATTGATTATCTTGCTTCATTGTTCTTCAGAAGACAATTTGGCCAACATAATGAGCAAGCCATTGGGTGGAGTGCACCATGGAAAGAATATAAAGTTAATTGGATTTATGTCTCTTCCAGTTATGAAGGGAGGAGTGTCAGAGTATTCATTTACTGGCAGAGACATAGTTAACAGAGTCAGTGAGTAGGCATAATAACAGACCAACCAATAGGAGCTGACCTGGAAAGTGAAACTAGAAGTTCTCTCTCTGTTTTACTTGCTGGCATGCTGCTGAAGTTAAGTTACTTGCAACATGTTTACTTCTGTCTGAGTTTGCTCCATGTTGGAGAAATCTACAACTGGTTTGTAAAATTTATTTATTATGTTTATAAAGACATTAAATGAAGCATCAGCCACCTGTGTTTATTTTTCTGGCACTGAGTTAATGCTGCAAAACTCTGAACAACTTCCCCAGTTGCCCCAGCTCACGGAGCCGTCCTATACTTCCAATGTAGCCAGCAGGGCCATAGGGCAGACAAATGCTTGGCACTCACTCCCCCACCAAGAGGGGGACCACCTGCTCCCGCTGAGCCAAAAAACTGCAATGAAAGGCAAGAGAGAGGTTGAGCACAGTATACCAGGCCATAGAGTTCTCCTTCTATGATGACCCAGGGCATGGCACGAAAGCAATGCAGCCAGAGAACAGGTCTAACTCCACTTTATTGTTCCAACTTTGCCCCCAAACATCCCCACATGTACTGGAACAAAGCTCTCTCACACACTTTTAGCAGCCTCTGGCTGCGAGTGGTCCAGTAAGCAAGGTTTAACCAAACAGTAACCAGGGCCAGCAGTCCAGCAAAGCAGGCAAACTGGGCAAGCTTCATAAGACAGAGCACAGTAATTTCCAGGCGTTGACAAGTGCACACAAAGCTCCACAAATTCAATGCTTGTTCCCAACAAATGCCCCACCCATCAGCACCTCCTTACATCTCAGTCTCCAGGTGTGCCTTGTGAAGGGGGTGGGGCACTCTCCTCCCTTGTAACCAGCTCAGTCTGCATTGGTCTCACCTTCACTCTTCTCTGCGTGCTCTAGGATCAGGAGGGAATGGTCCTTGCTCTTCGCCTGAACTCTATCTCTCCTGCTTCTTCCTGTCTTCAAGATGTTCTAATCTTGAAAAGCCTTGCCCGGACTGACTCTGCCCTTTCCCAGTTTCCTCCAAGGCCAATGGAGCAGCCAGCTCAATATCTGTCAGCTCTTGTTGCAGCTCATCTTCCCCCGCAGATTCAGACTCCGATGGGGGCATGACACCTTCCTTCGTAGTGAGGGAATTATGACTGAGGGGGACCAGTACCTGGCCCCTTATGAGAGCAAAGATGAGGGAGAGAGTGACCCAATGGTAAGTGAAGCCATCCGCCCCTTCTCTGCCCTACTGAGGATCGTAGCACCCAAGTTGGGAGCCCAGGGAGAATTGAAGGCACTCATAGACACGGGCTGCACCTGATCCTTAATGAACCTGTCCACAGTGCTAAAACTAGGAATACGATGAGGATGCTTCCCCAGTCTGTGAGGTTTGAGCAGGTGGATGGATCCCTAATAGGACACTCCCCCCCCCATGCACCTGACTGAGCCCATGTGATTAGAGATAGGTGAGCAGCAGGAGATCATCCAGTTCACAATAGCACTGAAAATGATGGAGGCAGTGATCCTGGGGATATCCTGGCTCGAAAAGTGGGGCCCAACCTGAACAGAAAAGAGAGAAGAAGATGAGCATAAGGAGGGGGAAAGTACAATAAAACTTATTTAAAAAGGAGGGGATTCTTCTACTTTCCCCATTGGAGACTCAAGGGAGAGGCTGAATGGCAAAGTGAGAAGGCGGAGGAGGCGAGCAGCTGACAGCAGCCTCAGAGCAGCAGCCAGAGGCCCAGCTCATCCCCCAAGAGTATCAGGATCTGAGGGGAGTGCTCAGCAAAGAGGAATGTGACGTCCTACCCCCTTACCACTCTACTGACTGCAAGATAGAGATCCTGCCAGGGGCGAAACTCCCCAAGTCGAAGATTTATTCTATGACTCCAAAACAGTTGGAGGAGCTGAGAAACTACATTTATAAGAACCTGGCCAGGGGGTTCAGCCAGCCAGCCAAGTCCCGGGTAGCAGCCCCCGTACTGTTCAAGGAGCAGAAGGCCAGGTCACTGAGGCTATGCATAGATTTTTGGGTTATCAATGGGGTATGCATGGAGAACATGCACTCCCTCCCCCTAATAAAGGACATGTTGGGCCATTTGGCCAAAGAGAAGATTTTCATCAGGCTAGACCTGAGGGAGGCATGCTACCAAGTAAGAATCAAGGAGGGCGACATGGAAGACTGCTTTTAATTGCCTGCTGGGGAGCTTCCAGTTGAAAGTGATGCCATTTGGCCTCCAAGGAGCCCCCGCAGTGTTTATACAGCTAACAAGGTAGTGTATGAACACCTGTACCTGAACAATATTCTCATCTTCTCCAAAACGATGGAGGAGCATGTGAAGTTAGTGCACCAGGTGCTCAAGAAGCTTCTAGCAGCAAATCTATATGCTAAGTTGTCTTAGTACGAATTCCACAAGACCCACCTAGACTACCTGGACTACCAAATGTCAAGTGAAGGTGTGGAGATGGACCCAGGAAACATAAAAGCCATACTCGAATGGTAGACCTCCTGAACCCGCAAGCAGCTGCAGGGTTTTTTTGGGATTCACAAATTTCTATAGGCAGTTTATCCCTTCATTTGCCAAGAACACTACCTATCACTGAGCTGCTAAAGATAGGAAAGGGGGAGGGAAGCCGCGCCTTAGCCAGACTCTAAAGTGGATAATGGATTCCAACCACTGCACCACAATTCCTCAGGCCACTCCAGAAGGCATTGGTTTAAGGACTAATGTATCACTTTAATGCTATATAGCCATTATGGCAAACCTACAGCACATGTGCCACAGGTGGCACTCAGA